AATGACACGTTTTACTCTTCACAGATGGAGAGGAGTGTGTTGATAGCAAACAGTTTGGCCTTACAGTATCTTTACTACGAACATATTTTAATATTCACTTTTATCTTCCAACGACAGCATTACTTTACAATATTTCCGTATTTGATCACCTTTAAAAATGCCCCTGAAAAAATATTTTGGGTAAGTGTCACTTATGAACATATTGGTAAAATGTGCTATTTGTGTTATTACATACTCTATTTTGCAGTTAATTAAACACATACCATCTAGACCAGAGGTGGCAAAAAGATATTTTTAAGAGAGGGAATGCCTTACAGTACAAAGCCTGACTTCTGTTCTGTGTAACTTGTATATTTTGCTCTGTGACGGATGTTGGTCCTCAGTCCATTTTTAAAGAAACGTTATCAGTAGATCGGTTAAGATCTAACAGCATATATTGATCAGGAAATGTGTTTTGATAAATCTCTATCAGCCAGTGATAGTACATCTTAATACTGCATCTCCACCAATAGTTTCACATCAATAGAGTAAAACAGCTCCTTACGAACATTGAGCTATAATCTTTTTCACACCTTCCAATGCCTCTGAGCGTAGCAGGAACACCGGGTTCAAGCCAGGACAAATGACTTTTATTAGGCTGCTCCTCTGCTGTTGTCACCTGTGGCTGAATGGGAGGAAATCCCTGCAGACAGGCTGTGAGTTCAGCACATCGGTGAAACAGAAGCTTCTTAAACTAAATACACAAAGAAAATATCTAAAAGAAAAAGCAAAAAATAAAAAATAATGCTGATATTTGTGCCTAACGGAAAGTTAGACAGAATACAGCCGTCTGTGATAAAAACTTAAACATCGCATATTATTATTATACTATAAACTGATAAATTCGTCAACGCCTCCTTATTGTCAGTCTTCACACTCCAGTTGACACTTGACATCCAGTGAGTGTGCATGAACAACACTTTTATAATGAACACCCTGTATTTTCAATAAAGAGTTAGTTTTCCCAAATGGATGAAAATAGTTCTTTGTAGTAGTAGTAGTACTTTCAGCATGAATTAAAAGAACAGTTCCTGGATGAGGTACAGGTGTAGATCCAGATTCTTTTGCTTTTCCTGTTTTTTGTGCACAACTATAAGATCAATCTTGCAGAGGAAGGATCGTTGAGACTGGAGACCTTCAAGGTAACTGATGTGATGTTTACGCCATGGTGTAGCCGTAGCTCCCACAATGCAGAGCAACCAGCAGCCGGTCTTTCAGGACCTCCTGACTGGGGTATTCTGGGAGTTTCAGCATGTTGATACTGGGGAGAGGAGTGAATAAGTGAGTTTGGGGCGGGAATGATGGTCAGGCCTATTCCCCCCCACCAGAGATGTGTGCTAGTGATGCTATTTGGTATCTCTGAAGAGACACACTGCCCCCTAGTGCTGAGTAACATCTTCTGTAAGGCCTTCTGTGAGTTCCTGACGTGTACTGTGGCTTTGCAAGATAGTGGAGTCGTGCTTAATCTTTAACGTGATGGAGGGAAAAAATGAGAAATCATTAGAATGCTTAGTTTCATTCAGGGAGGAATAAATGTTACAGCTCTGGTGCTGCATGGAGTGTCCTTGGCAGTGCAATAAAAGTCTGGCTCTGATCCAGAGCTGTAAGACCTACTAAGCTGCATCTAACCACTGTGAGCACTTAAGGACCCGAGAAGACTAAGAAAAACAGCCGTAGCTTATATTCTTCTGTTGTACCAGTCAGTCTGCTGGTCACCGGGGCTGCAGTATAATAACCAGAGTCAATGGGTTTTGAAGCATTCAAGCATTTTCTGTAAACATGTTATTGTGTCTTGGTGACTTAGCTAAAATTGTCATCATTAGCAAATAAGAAGAAAATCCTAATGAGGAACAATCTGCCCTGCTTCTCTGCTTGACTTTCTCATAACAACATCATGACTCTATGTTTAAACTCAATGATCTCTCTGAGTGACATCCTTATGTTTTCCCCACGGTGAACCTAATGCTCCTGCCTCTTTCCACGTCCCAATGACAAGTAGGTCGTTATAAAAGGATCTGAAATTCCCAGAAAGGTAAACGTAAGCGTTAACAGTTGTTTGTCTGTCTGGTGTCAGCTCTGTGATTGACTGACGACCTGTAGAGCGAACCGATCCGCCTCTGAAACAATGTCAGAGAGGACTGTCTTAGTCTGCGATGTCAGTGACTGTCATTTCTGCCTTTCAACTGGGAATACATTATTTGTAGTTGTTGCTCTGGAAAGTTCCCTGGTCCCCAACATTTACGATATTAAAAAAACAGGAATATTACCAGGTGCTCGAGGTAGGCAGTAGGTTTGAGGTGTATGACACTCCAGCAATGGTGAATTTTTGTAAACCACTTCCACCCATCAGGTACGCAAAACCACCGTGAGGAACCCTGGAACTGAAATGAAAATATTTTACCTTGATTGATTCTAAAAAAAACCCAAAAAAACGTATATGTTAAAATCACTATAGTTTAATTTTAATTAAAAAAAGCACTTACAATTATGCACATCCAAAGGCAAGGTAGCATATTTCATTGTCCTCATCACATAAAAATAGGCTCTCATTTGCATTTATACACAGAATAGAGATATGCTCTAACTCTCAGTGAAAATATCCAGGGGTGATGCTAAAAATACAGATTGCCTCCAAACTCCTAGGAGTAGATTATTTTATTTATTTATTAGAAAGTTTTTAAATAGTTAAGAAAAACCATAGACTTTGATTGAGAACAGAGTAAAGGATGCAGACCAACCTTCCTGTTACAAACTGAAGTAGAAGAACTCGTTCCTCCTGTGTGAGGCTCTTCACCACCTCCCAGAACCACTGCAACAAAAGCAGGATATCACCGTAAACTACATATTATAGACTTTTTGACAATAGATGACTATGATAATCTATCTGCTTGTTTTTAAAGCCTGTGATAAAGTAACAGGATCAGGCTTGTTAACAAAGGACCACGGTTCGAATCCCACCTTGACCAATTATGGGATATTCAGAAAGCACCATTTAATTTGCTCTGTAAAAGCTTCTTAAAAAACGATCACTGCTCCCCAGGAATGGATTGATGAAGTGCTAAACTAAAGCAACCTATTGTTTGAGAGAGGAAAATATAAACCCATGGCATGAAAGAGAATAATCAACAGCCTCTCTTACACCGAGTCAAATTTAGATTCAGATCTCGGTGTCATTTTACAACGTATAAAATGATGCACTGCTGCTGGTTGAGTTACAATGTGAATGTCAACATCGAGTGTTGATGATGAAAACACATCTTTCATCTAGTTTTCAATGGCAACACGAATATAGACATAAAGGTGAGGGGCGAGAGGATATTTTTACTTACACCCTAAAAAAATTACACCCTGAAACATTCAGAAACGTTCGACAAACTGTAAACTGATATCAAAATCCAGATAATTTATGCTGGAGACATAATTAAACAGTCTCTGAAGTTCAGTCAATGTCACTTTGGTAGATAATAAACAAAAAAGCCCACCTGGATAACGGGCTCCTGAGAGTCATACCCACTGGTGTACTCTGTGTTCCTGTACCAATCATGCACATCGATTTCTGGCATCCCTGACAGCAGAAGCTCCTGGAGTACCAACACGCAATTTGTGGAGAAAAACAACAGATTTGAGAACAGTTCATAAATGTTATCAAAATGTGCTGGAGGAAATACTGGTTGGCTTTATTCTGGCTTTATTGTATGGGGCTTGTTTAGAGTTTTAGGGTTGATCATCCAGTTCAATTACGGGGCTGAGAAAATGCCCCTTATTTGCCGTTTGTTTGTTGTGCAATTTAAACAACTTCCAACAATACTGACAAATCCTCAGATAATAAGTTTATTCTGTTGTGAAAAGTGACTGTTGCATCTCCTGATGTAAACATTACAGCATTTAAAAACAAACTAACCATTGTTATGTTCTGGAACAGCGATGGCTAAGAGCCACAATTTTTACTTATTTTTTTTTAATTTTTACTGCAAAGAGCAACATAAGTCCTGTTTGGAAATTCCTAGTCTTTTTTAGTCTAGTTTTTTGCATTTTTGCTGTAATTTTTACCTGCCATTTTGACAGTGAATTTGGTAGGCCTACATCACACACATATATATGTATACATATAGAAACATAAGAGCCGCATGAAACCGGGCCATGCCTGTTCTAGAATGTAAATACTGACATAAATACTCAGTGTTATTATTATTTTTACAGTGTAGCATTGTATTTGTCATTTATACAGCTGGAAATAATGAAAGTGAGGGGAAAACACAGCAGCATGGATTAGCATGGCAATCAACAGGAAAAGCTACGACAGTATCCACTTATGACTCCTGCAAATCTTTTCCTGCATTATAACCCATTTTCTAAACAGGATCACAATTTAACTACAAACTAACTAATAGTGCATTCACTAAATGATGAGAGAATGGCAAATGAAACCATTCATTCTCCTTATATTTTAAATCAACTGAGACACAGCCTTATTTTGCTATGACTTCGCATGACGTCTGCATCCATACAGAATGACAAATTGTAGTTTCCACTTAAAGAAGCCAAATAGGGAGGGACCAGCATCAACAACAACAAGAAGTTACTTACTACAGCTTTCATATGTATTAAGGTTTTAGGGCCATTATAATAAGCATACTGTACGTTAAAGTCTATTTGTAGCAGCAAATTAATCCACATTCGCTTCTCTGTTGTGTATTTAGGGCAGCATGACATCCTATGCGCATTCGTATATGGAGTTTAAATTAACCACAGCTACATGTCCACGGTAATAAAGAGATCCATCACTTTTTCACTTAATTCTGGACAAAAATAGAGCTTTATTGTCCAGAGAAATGAGATATATCAGACTTTAAATAAGAACCTATTTAATAGGAGGTGAAATTCATTGACTTTTTGCTTGTTTTGTTTTTTAGTAGCTCACTTTTAACTAGTTTTCTTTATCTGATGGTGAAATCAGAATTTAGAACAAGACATAAAATAGTGCAGTCATGAAAATATATATTTTTAATACTCTAATATCACTTTCTAAAACATAGAGAGAAGCTGTTTTTGTTTAACTTGAAGACTTTGGTTACATATTTCCAGTGGTGTGATATCTACTGTACTGTTATAGCAGCAGCCTTTAGGGCACTCTTCATAAAAGCAGGTATGACAGTTATTACATAATTTTGACTGAATCCTTTTTATGTTTTACTTTGTTGTGGTTTTGTTTACTCTGAAGTCTAAAAATCAAAAGTCCTTATTTCCTTTGCACGAACCATTTTATCGTTGACTGTGGAACATGCTGCTCTCATTGACGGAATTGATTTGAGTCCTGCAGAAAACCGAACAAAGGAAGTCTAGTGAGGTTTTAGGACCAGATAATGTCCTGTTTGATTGAAGTCAAGCCTCTCAGGATGACTGTCAGTGAGACTGAAGAACTAGAAAAGGATAATAAGTAAAAACACAAGACTGGACATACAATTCTGTTAGAAATCAAAACTCCTTGTTGATAGTGCAGCTTCTATTATGCAGTAGAAATTCTGATTGTTTGAAACGAGTGAAGATGGAATAGGAAGTTTATGTCATTTGTTTATGTCATAGTTGAAGATTAACCTTAGCTTGGTCCTCCACCAGGGGCAGCCACAGCAGTGGTCTTCAAAGTAATTTGGCAGAGTTTTAACACTGGATGACCTTCATGACACAACCTAACCTGGGATTTGGGGAATGGGTGCTATCAAATCCTAAACCTTTGGGTAGCATGTGGTATTGTGGCATCAGTACCACAGTATTTGCTATATAAAACTATTTGGACAACCTAGTGCTAGACATTGCTTGCATGTTTTGCAGACAGGCGACTGAAAAGTTGGATGTCATTAGAAAGTTTGAGATATTGTAAATCAAGAAATTACCACAGACTAGCTTCTTTAGAATACCAAGTATTGCAACCAAGTATTGACCAGTATAGTATGTTAATTTAATTACTGAAACATTGAAACTGTGTTACTCAGTTTAAGTGACATTTTGTTTACTGGAAAGCAGGAGAAAGTTTTCAGTTGAAAGGCATGCTAAAGGCATTAACGCTTCTAAAACGCTTTGAAAACACAAACAGTAAAACATCTGCAACGCTGTAAAAATACACTAAACATTTGCCCTCCAACGACATCATGACCAAGGCATGTCTTACAAATCCAGGATGGGTTAATCATCATGCTACACTATTGATCTGCACAGGAGTGAGGACGTGGAATCCGCCGACACACAGGAAAAGAAAAAAAAACTGCTCTCAGCTGTGATGGAGCTGGAGAAGAGGGAGGAGCTTCAAGGTGACCCCCGCCTTCCCCCCCATCCCCACCTAATCAATTCCTACATCAGGGCTGAGCAGGGTGGCAGTGTCAGGGAGACAAGAATACCAACTGTGGAAAAAAGAAGTGGAGAAAAAAAAGACAAGAAGGAAGGTCAAAGGAGGACGACTCACCAATTCGTATTCATCGAAAAGCTGGATGAGTGAGGGGGGGATGAAAGTGTGGAATCCTTGCAGGAAGGCATTTATCTGAGGCTGTATGGCTCTTGTCATCCTCAGCTCTGTCACCAGCTGTACATACTCGGCCTGAGACACAGAGAGATCACACACACACGAGCATACACAGCATGATCAAAGATCATAAAAGACATGGATGGAGGTTGACACTACTACTACATAGTTATTGTTTGCTACCCTAGTTATACTGCTCTCTTCTTGGCTAAACAGTGCCACCTGCAGGACTTTGGTAGCACGGCGCACTTTAATTACGACTCCCGCAGGCTAAAAGCTACGGAAAAAGAATCAATCGATCACAAGAAACCCACTATGATAGAGTGGAGCACTTATTAACGCCACCTACAGACACAAAAGCATTTCAAATGTTTTACTCACTAACTGGTCAGACTTTCTGGCAATCCAGCGAGACCTCTAAGGATTTTTGTTGTGTAAAAAATCAGGAACACTCAAAGTAAAGACACCTCATATTATAAATGTTATGATATAAATGAAGAAAAATCATTAAAGATGATGAGATGTGCCTTAAACAACCACTGAATAATGAATTAAACACCGGCACTGGAATAAACCCTTTACTGTATTAGAGCAGCTTTTAAAGAGAGATTTGATAAGATGAGATAAAAGGCTGATGTCCTCGGGCTAGTGGTTCTGAAGTCCACAAGCTCCAGCTGTGAGGGCCGTGGGACCTCTGTGTGATGGTTTCTAAGTTAGGATCTTACAAAAACGTGTTAAAGAATCTAAACCAAAGTTACTGTTTTTTACAACTTGGGGGCAGGACCTCTGTAGTCTTTGAAGACATGAACAGGAGGATTTTGTACTTTAAATAAGCACTAACATAAACCAAAAGATATGGAATGTCTATTCTACCTTCATTTTACACACGACATTTTAAGGAAAAGTAAAACTATTTAAGACAAATTTAGACTTATTTGTTTTAAATATTTACCATATGAGCTGAATTTCTTTTGTAGGCGGCCCTGTCTATATCGATTCTCCATAAACTTTGTTCACAGTCTTTTTCTCCCACAGTTGCATAGGGATTTCAGGAAAAACTGCACTGATTTACAACTCACAAGAACTGCATTATTCTCCTCCCCAAAACTCTGCAGATAATAGTATCCACCTGATATCTACACACTGGAGTATTTAATACGACAACTACTCAAACTCAGGCTCAGAAAAAGTGCCTGTGTCCTCAGAGGCATCTTTATGCTGCTGCATCTTGACAGAGATCAAGCAGAAAATCATCAGGGAGAAAAAACATGTGCATGTGACAAACAAACCTTTTCATGCAGTCATGCAGGTGTAGGTCTAGTCATCCTAAGTACTGTATTTAAAATAATGACACTTGAAAAACTAAAAGATAGCAAAGCAACTTTCAGCAAAAGTGCAGTATGTTAAAAAACAAGTGCAGTTAAGTTTTAAAATAAAAGTCTGTAATAGATATCCCCCTCTCCTTCACCTTTAAAACAGAACCTCCATGACAGGCCGAATCAATCACTTGATCATCGAGCTCAAAACCTGAAGGACAGAAAAACTGTCCAGGATCGCAGATCACAGATAAGACTCCCATTTTTATTCTAAGGAGTTATAACAAAGTCGCCACATCTTGGCAGCACGGTAAAGGGAGACTACGTGTAATAATTTATTTCCGGTAATAGCTGATAAGAACTTGCGCGTCCTTGTAAAGTACAATATTAATAAAACACTTGCATCTTTTGTGTCGCTGAACCTTAATGTTCCTGAACACATCAAACAGGCTGTTTGTTTTTTTGTTCCTCTCGTAAACACTACCAACGTAGTATCTTTTTGGATCTTTACATCGAGCTTTGCCATTCACTCAGTAAATGAGGAGTTTCTTATCTGAAATTCTGACCAGAGGACAGAATTTAAGCATTTTCGTGTCCATCCATCCATCATCTACCATCTTTTCTTTTGCATGGTTGTGTGGGGGCGCTGAAGCTACGGTGGACAGTTTGTGAGTCCATCACAGGGCCAAATATAGAGACATTCATACCTATGGTCGATTTAGAGTGTCAATCTAATCCCCTAATGAGCATGTTTTTGGGCTGTGGATCTAAGCTGTGGACAAGTGGCCAGAAGATTTAGAGCACATCCAGACAACACTGACGATGCTGTATAAATGTGGAAATTTGGCTCTACCACAATGACGCCAACAAATCACTGGATTTGAGGGAGTGCGACATGTTTTCCTCCCAAACAAAAACAGACGCCACACATCATCCATGACGATGGTTCTCTTCTAGAAGGAACTTTAATTGTTCTGAGGGTCACTGACCTTGTTGTCCTGTGTGACCAGAATGCTGGTTCCTCCGGGCTTCAGTGGTACTTCCTCCATGGCTCCAAACACATCTGTCTCGACAGAGAAGGTGAGCTCCAGACCCAGGTCACTGATGTCATTATCCAGGATCCACTGCAGGTTCTTGGCGTACTCTGGATCGATGGATGATACATCCTGGTAGTTCACAGGGATCCCTGGAACACACACATCAATGCAACTAAAAAGGAGCATCAAGATCTTAAAAATCAGTAATTAAATGTTCGTTAAATGATCATATTCAGTAATCTCCTGCTGCTCAATCCTTTTCAAGATTGTGGCAGAACTAGTTTTAGCAGTCAATGAGCGAGAACACTAACCACCCATCAACCGTTCAGTTAAAATGTGCAGCATGCGTTGACGCTTTCTCCTCTTACCCAGTATGTGTTTGTAGAAGGAGCGGGTGAAGTAGATGTTAACCAACTGTCGATGGTACAGGGCCAAACCCAGGATCTGACCTGCAAACCTGAAGTAGTTCAGATGGTCTGGGTTCACTGAGGAGTTTCTGTTGGGCTGGAAGGTGGTGCCTGTCAAGTCCACACAAGTATAGACATGTTACTCAGTACAACATGAGAAACATCTGTTTGTCAGGTCATTTTCCAGTCAAGGAAACGTCTGGTACCGTCAGCTGACTGAGTGAACAGAGCGTAGTCTGGGTTGATGATCTCATTTGACAGAATGTCAAACCATTCTCTCACAACACCCTGACCCTGTAACACAGGCACAAGAGACGACTCTGCTGAGAAAAAAAGATGCTAGTGCTCTGTGACAAGTGTCATGTAAATGTTGACTGTAAAAACCAACCATTCCTTCTTCGCCGTGGAAGCGAACAGCGATGCCCTGTTTGAGTTTCTCGTTGGTGGATTTGGAAACCATCTCACAGCTGCTTCTGAATATGGACTCTGTTAGTGAGGAAGAACAATTAAGAGGAAACTACGTTAAGACATTTTAGACATTCAGTGTAGACATTCATACATTTTCAAGACCCAGTAATACTCCATTTTAACTCATTGTGAATGTTTTGTCTGGCCCAAGATTGTATTCATCCTACTGTATGGTTAGAGTTCTCTCTACAGTCATCAGTAAAGTCCCAGTTAAAATAAAAGTTTGCTTTGCTGGTTTAGAATCTAAAAAATTAAAAAAAACTGGATTTATAATATTATAATATCAGAAAAAATTATCAGCATTTATTAGCAAAATTGCTTGTCGTTATGTTCTGTCCAACAAGACATTAATTGCTACAACAGGTTAAAGAGTCACTGTTCAGCTGCTTCAGTTGCAACCATGGCCTAAAATGAGACCACTCTGTCCATTTCTTTTTAACAGTATTTGATTCTGCAGAAACACGCCACAGTGAGAATATACAGCATTTGTAGTTTGACATCTTGTCTTGACATCATTTGGTGAAGTACACGGTGTGTACCTCTGTGGATGAGCAGGATGTCATTCTCGTTGACCGGACGATGAACCATGTCTGAGTCTGGCTGTCCAGCCAGCAGATGCTCGTAGAACCACTCACAGCGATCCTTGAAGGGCTGAGAGGGAAAAAAAGTAAAACTTTAAAACTTATGTGTGGCTGCTGTTTTTAAACTAATTGTCAATTTGTAGCACTTTTCCCCCGACTGTGAATTGTTTTTCCAACTCCTCCGATTTTTCCGCAAGACTTCACCTCTGAAAAAAGGAAGAGCTATTTGCATAATGCTGTACTGTACTCTCTTTGTTCTCTAAGCACTGGAGTTAGTGTGAAAGATAAGAGGGTACGTCTTTCCCCCCCTGGGGGCCAGTAAGTACCAGTGAATCAGAAGATTAAATCAAATTCGTCAGGTTAAAGTCTGCAATTAAAACAAGAGCTTGCTCCCAGGCATGTCACAATCTGTGGGTAACGAGGCTCGAATGCAGCATTTCAAATACTAAAAGTGACGAGTGAAGGAACAGCACTCGTAGCAGTGCTTAAAATTTATGAAGCCCTATAAATGAAACTTAAGAAGAGTTTTATCACAGTGGTTGTACGACAGTTAAACCAGAGTAAAGTGAAGACACACAGGACTTTCAATGTCACTTTCTAAGTCATCCCTGAAGAGACACACGCTGAGACAAAGGGAAACTGACGGCACTTGAGTACTGAAAGATTGAGAAAACAACACCAATACCCAGAGGCAGGAGAGATGTTTTTATTATTTACTTGGTGTGTAAATGTGAGTGAAGTTTTACTGTAATGAAATGAAACGCATGGCTGAGCAGGATGTAATTTACATGAGTTGGGTGCAGTCTTAACAGAGCACTGCACCAAGACAGTAGGTGCTACTTTGAGCAGAGAAACTGAGATGTTCTATAGCTTTGTGAGCTCACACGTTTTGATGGTAATATTACAGTATAGTAGGGGTGTGTATAGGCAAGAATCTGGTGATACGATAGGTCACGCATCAGGGGCAATGATACATATATATTGTGATGTACTGCAAATTAGAATACAGTTAAAGACAGTTTTTGGGAACTTTTGACCCTTATTATGGCTCCCAAATGTAAGTCAGACTCTTCTGATGTTTTATGTCCTAGATTTTGATGTAGGAATGTACAGTATGTGAGCTCGACTTATGGATTAAAACTGAGTTACATCGCATTGATGAACCATCTACCAGTCATGGACCCACTGTAGTGGTAGTTTATAATTAGCACTGTGTATGTTTTTCTATGTTAATTGCAGTTAAATGCTACACATTGATACCATTTTAATTCGTGATTCAAATGATGTAGTGAACATTAGACAACAATTAAGACTACTTTTTTTATCATATATACTTTTAGAAGCCAATCAATAATGTTTACATAAATAGTAAATCATGTGCAAAACAACTATACAACTTTTAAAGTATTATTCTGAGCCAATTGTGACATCACTACACCCATATATCAAACCGCAGCCTGGCACACTCTGCAGGGTAAACACTGGAAGCACAGCTACTTCAGATTACCTCCTGTGTCTCGTGTCTTACCTGGCCTTTGATTATATGCATGAAACGCGACATCAACTCCGGACACTCCAGGAGGAAGTGGAAGTGGTTAAAGATGATTTTTGGATTCCTATACAACCAGTGAAGAGAAAAGGAGACAAGAATGCAAATCAGAGGAAAGAAGATGCTGAATCAATATCTTTTCTCTCATTTCTGTATGTGAAGAGGCTAATGTGTTGGGGGAGGGCTGCATTGACTCACCTGGTTACGAAGCACTTAAGAACGTTGTCGTGCTTGCAGACGAACTCGATGAAGCGAGGGGACGTCATTCTGTGTAAGGAACAAGAAAAGGTGTTGGATTCGAACAAGGTTCAGTGGCAGAATCTTTATCGCAAATGCACAATTAATTTAACTGAAATTTCAGTGTAATATACGTTGGAATTACTCGTGGTACTGGGAAAATGAGACAATCCAGCTCATTCAGAAAGCTGAGAGAACCCAGGGTTGTAACAATAGGAGAGAGGTTAAGTATTTTTATCTGTCCAATTCATATTATTATGAACCTATAAAAGGGATTTAATGAAGAGAGATAAATAGGGGAACAACAGGGAAGTAGATGAGGCACAGATAGTCACTGGGAACTGTACTGGCACCCTGGACCTTTTGGCTGTAAAATCAAATATTTATGAATTAATATAATGTTATTACTTGGGTTTTTTTTCCTCCTATTTACTACCTATATATTTTAGAATCATCTTCATGCAACTGAAAACCAAAATGTTGAGTTTAAAAATAGAGCCTTGTCACTACGAGCGATTATAAACTTTAAAGAAAGACAACCAAAAGGTTTACACGCATTTAAACGTCCACTGAAGGACATGATGGACAACACATGACAATCAAACACATACCCTTGTGGCATCTGACAGGAGCAGGACATGTAGAAGGCCTGAATCACAGCACTGAGTCGATTGGCCGTCATAGAGATGACATCTTCTCCATCAGCATATACATCCGTTTCCATGACGATCTGAGTATCCAGCAAGGACGGCAACTTTTGTGGAGAGCCTGAGTTTTCGACCTCACGCTGCTTGAGGAGCAGAGAGGCGATCTCACTGCCAGAAGATGAGGAAGACGGGTTTTTTCTGTTCCTCTCCAGCTCAGTGGAGATCAGAACCAGCCACTCATCCAACGAGTGCCACAGCAGCTCCAAAGGCTGAAAATATTTAAGCTACAATGAACGTATCCACATAACAATGTCTTCCAATAAAATTAGAAGAGGGGATCTGTGACATCTAAACATACTCACCTTGAAGACCTGGCTGCGTGGAGTCTTGTTGCCGTTGTAGCCCATATCGTTGCCATTGTTCGGTGATGAAGGTCCCAAGCAGAACACATGGCAGAAAATGCGAACTATTCTCAGCAGACTCTTCATCTGAGCCTCAAAACTGCTGGACAGGCTGTGCAGAGACAGAGGGAAGATGAGTGACAAAAAAATGAACCACTATGACAAAGAGGAGACAGCTTTAGAGAAGAGAATGACAAGATTTCTTTTAGTATTAAGTTGGTTTTCTGCTTTGTCTGATTTAAGCAGACAGGTCTTGGAGAAGGTGCAGAAGTCATGTTTAGTTATTTTGTAATTTGGAAAACAAAAGGTTTTGCAATTCTGGTCCCTGTTAAAAGCAGTTTAACAGATTCATAAAACCTTTGCTTTGTTGTGAGACCTGGTTAGGTGATGATAGATAGATAGAATTTACCTGAGAAGTTTGTGCCCATTGGTCGTAGCCACCTCAGCAAGACTTGTCAGGATCCTGTGGTAATGGCTGTCACTCTGCTGAGAGACATGCTCCAGCACCTGCCTGAGCTGAACACACACACAGGCACTGAATACACACGTGTATAACGGTAATATATGTAGAATCTTGAGAATAGGAACAGAGACGCATCGCATTACCATACTCTCTTTAATGTCCTCATTTTGGGTCATCTGGATGAGAGTCTGGAATAGTCTCCCATGGTGCTGGATGAGAATTTCACAGGTCTCACCATATCCACCCTGATGAAGACACAGGTTACAGATCAAGTCTCACAGGCTAAAAAGGCTAATGCAAGGGCAAAAACAGCAAAAGAGAAAAAGAAATAATATTCACCTGCACACAGAGATCCAGAGGAGTGATTCCATTCTTGTCAGCAACATATTTGGCACCTCGTGAGAGCAGAATCTGGGCAGTGTCTCTTTGGCCGTGGCTACAGAACAAAGTTTAACACGGCATTGATTAAATTGAAGGCCTCAAAGTGCAAAGATACATCCTTTATCTTTTAAAATGAGTTTATAAGTAACAGTAATCTTATCTCTCGGTGTCTCTAATGAATTAAAAAGAACAACACAGTATGACAGTGACAGGAGCTGTGTCATCACCTGCAAGCAAAGTAAAGAGGCGTGGCTCCAGAGACATTTGGCCGATTTATGTCAGCACCTCTGTCCAGCAGGCATAACACCGTCTGAGGAGGAACAACACAGCCACGATCATTACACAGTCATTACACTCAGACTTTTGTCAGTTCTAAGTAGCTCACTGTTTTGTGTCCATTCTGACAGGCCACATGTAGAGCTGTCTGACCCATAGCATCCTCCACATCCACATTAGTCACATGCTGGACCAGATCGTGCAGAAGCTCCGTCCGTCCATTCACTGCCAACCAATGGATCTGCAGCAAAGGTTCAGATTCAGTCAGACCACATGACTAACAACACAAGCAGGTTTTTACACAGATTATTAAAGAGATGAGATGGAACCAAAAGATTATGATCCACATACAGCAGTCAGTCCCTCATTGTTGCAGATGTTGACATCAGCATTATATTCCAGCAGTTTGCCCATGCACTTCTTCTGTCTGATGGAATATAAAGAGAAATGAATCATCAGTAACATACATTACATTAAGGCAGGATATTAGTCGGTGACGGCGGTGCATCAGTCTGACTCCGAGGTGACTGAGTAGGGCAGCTGCTTGACATCTGACCCTGAGACAGAACTCAAAAGGCAGCATTGACAAATGCCACAAATGGAAGACTTTGGACTTTTTTTAATCTACACTCATGGCTGTGCTGCTCAAGCAGTCTGCGGTTTAGTCTGAACCTGATGCATTTGCATTCAAATATCACATATTTGAATGCGTTAGGATGAAGCTAATCTTCTTTCATTAAAAAGTGTTGCTGCTGCTCTGGAAAAGAATGCACATCTGAACAAGCACGTTTTTCTTCCCTTTCTTGCTGAGCTGCTAATTATGGCGCAACACTGTTTCCTGAGGAAGCACAGTTTTTTGGAGGAGAAAAGGTGTTCATAACAGTATGTCAACAAAATGTTTTGAATTGTTTCAGCTTGCATTTTTTTCTGTCCAAATCCAGATATCTCATTTCTCATTTCTCTTTTTATATTCATGTAACTAAAGCCAAATGAATAACACATAATACAATATAGGTGTTGTTTTTTTATACTATCAGCATTCACTTTGTAGATATTCATTAATGAATACTGCCCAAAAAAACAACAGTGATATAAAATTCAGCAGAAGACTTCTCCTACCCATTCCTGGCAGCGAGGTGCAGAGGAGTACAGCCCGAGATGTCCTGGTAGTTTGGATTTGCTCCTTTCTTTAGCAGCAGAACCAGACACTCCACTGATCCACAACTTTGGACAGAGGTTCTTTATGAGTTGAATTCTATTTATCATCACATATATGCTATGACATGACACAGACACATATCTTTTTAGATCCAGATCAATTCGCAGATAGTGAAGAACCTTTATCTGATTCTGTTTTTTTTTCCATACTATAAGATAAACGTTATTATGGGCATAAATATGCATAGGAATAACAACCCAAAAATGTGTGTATGTGTGTGTGTGTGTGTGTGTGTCACAATGTTACTGAAGTAATTAGCTGTAGTTTGCTGTAATAGTGAAATAATATCTTACTTAGCAGCAATGTGCAGCAGACTCCTTTTCACCCGTCCAAATGCGTAGTTAACATCAAACTTAGAGTTGAGCAGCAGCTCTGACACCGATCTTGAGGGAAGGAATTAAGTAAAAAAAATATAAACACACAAACTGCAAAGCACTCATTACAAGTATTTGCGCGGAGGTCAACATACTTAGGGAAGACAGTGATGCTTACCTGTGCTGGTCAGCCATGACCATTGGCATAAGTGTGTACACTGCAGTCTCATTGTCTGTGAAGTATGTAAAGGTCTTGTGTCAAACAGATAGTTTGTTAAATTATTTAGCAGCAAACCACTGCTCCTGTAATGTCTATACACTTCTATATTTTAGCTTTATGTCCATCCATCCAACCTGAAATTATATATAGTCCCTTTGTAATTAAAATAATCTAAATGAGCAAAATGGACATTTTTGTTAGATGTTTTCGAAAGGACACTTGTGCTTCATCAAATAGTTAAAAAAAAGTGCCTCTAGTTGTTTGGGGGTAAATCGAGACTCTAAATGGACAGTCAGCATTAATGTGACTATAAAGGAAAGTGAACTACTCGTCATTGTGACACAGCACACCGCTGCAAACAACATGTGACCTCAATGAGTGGATTATAAAAGCATTATGAAAATCAGGAACAGTCGTAGATTAATCAATAACTGTCGCCGTCACAGTCTCTGATCTCATGTATGTGAATGAATACAGCTTGACAACGAGATTCGTGTTTAACATCAACTTAGTGTGTCACGCCGGTGTGTATGACACAGTAGTTACATAGTAATGCCACTCCACTGACACGGTTTACTACATTGAACGTTTACTACAACATTTGAACCTTCTCTGCGATGACCCTGGGGAGGTTGCCATACCTTCCGGGAGTTCTACCGTCCTAGCCCGACGAAGGGAGCGGGTCAGCCGGCTGAGCTGTACGTTAAGCTGCTCCATAGCTCGTTCCATCATAGGTGAAACGCCGGGTTTATTTCCTTTTAGAGAGACGGTGTCGGTCCTGGGCGTCGTCCATGGGCGCTGGCAGAAGGCGGACCGTTCTTTAGAGTTCGAACAGATTTACAGTAGACTCGCACTGCCCTGGTCATCTACGACTGCTATGCCACGGTTACTTCCTGTTATGATTGTGTTAGGGATCGTGGGTAATGTAGTTTAGGCCGATGTGTTGCTGCTAAAACGCACAAAATGTATGAACAAATTGTAAATACTTTGGAATGCTAATATTCACGCTGTGCATCTTTAAAATATTGATATTTATTTATATCATTTGTTTATTATTATTCAAGAGTTTATCACATTATCAGTTATTGCCGTGTGTCTACAGTGAAATGTAAAACTATTTGTATCAGGATTCCGTTTTTTGTCAACAAATAGAACGTTTTGGGAGTCAACGTTACACACTGTAATAATACCTGTTCTACAACGAATATTGGGATTAGTTATAACTCATTAATATTTGTTAATTTATGTAATTTGTACATTCAATGTGCAGGCTGTTTTACCACACCTATTATGCACAGTCTCAGGACTACAGGATCTAAGACATTTAATCAAATAGAGATCAAAGTTATTTTTACAACTAACAAATCTTAAGGAGAATAAAAACTTAAAATGTGTCAAGTGTCCCAGCACTTGCTTTTAGGGCGTTATTTATTGTCACATTTTGGTTCCAGCTAAATTGTCTCAGTTCCAACTGTTTTACTGTTTGAATAATAGTAGTTAACTATATATTAATTTAATAGTTATTATTATTGTCATAAAGCTTTTTTTGATCATTTTACCATCATAGAGCAAGTATGGATGACATACATACATACTGTGGCCACAGGGGGGCATCCGACTCCAAACGCTAATATTGCATCTCAGCATGAAAGATACTGTATACTGTTCTTGCAAAACGACGTGTGTTCTGTGATGCATATGCAACATGTAACCAGAAAGGGACACTACACTGCACACAAAGTGTTTATTGAACACAGTAAATCATTTTAGGTTCAAGTATTTCGTGATTGTGCTAGTGTTATAAAATCAAAAAACACATTAAACAATTGACCAATGCAAAAATGACCAGTTCTCTATTCTAAACTATAACAAATCACATTCTGTTTTTTTCCTTGAGCTGTAGCATAAGGTCACTTTAAAATCATAGCAACATTCAACTAGTTTAAAATGTAACAAAGAGTGTGTGGATTCTTTGTGAATTAAAAATGTGTTTTAAAATAAATATATAAAATGTAATTGTTTCTATAAAACCTCATATTTTAGGATCATTTTTAATGTCTTAGTTTCTGGTTAACAGGGTACAATTAAAAAGGGATTTAAAAAAAGAGACAAAATATTAACATAAATCTGAGTTGAACTTAAGTCATTTTTTAAACAAACCAATTAAACTTAAAAATGTGAATATATATTGACCAGTATTGATGGTTGAAATAAACACATTGTTTTCCAACTATTCTGTGACCATGACGTGTTAAAACATTACTGCTTGGGGAAACCAGTCAGTGCTCCATGATGGACAAAAACATTAAATACACAACATTTATGAACAAACACCAAACAGACACACAGCTCTGTTGAACACCTAGATGGCTTCTTAGTCTAATCTTGCTTATCCTGCATGTTCAGTGGCCCAGCTGTCATCTATACATAGACATGTGACAGAGTGGGCTGGATGCAAGAAATACTTTTGTTGGTGATCATTGGTCCCGTGTGGTTACACCTCTTCAGTAGAAGTGCTGGGCATACGGATGGACGGTGCACAGTCCTTGAAGACGTCATCCTCCATTGCTTCTTCTATGGGATTCATCTTGGATCCTTTTGTACTTGGTGATTTTTCTAAAATTTAAATTATAGGTAAAAATTAGGGCACAACTAAAATGTCAATGGCAAAATGAATTGCTAATAATCAAACTAGATAAATTAAATAAAACAGGTTCAAAATATACAGTACCTGCTCTTACAGAACATGTTTTATTTATATAGTAATGTTAATTATGATAAATTATGATTAGTTATTATACCAACTACTCATGATTAATCATGAGTAATGAAATAAAACATGTCATTCATTTTGTAGTCCTAGTAAAAATGAATAAACATGGAAACTTTCCTGCAGGCCTATCCTCAACATGTACCTTTTTCTTAAACCACAATGAGACTTACGGGACGATCCTGCAGATCCTCCACGTAGGATTTGGTTTAACACATCATCAGTGTCGTTGGCGCTCGCCATGCTGTTCCTCACCTGCATCATGGACAGCTGAGAGCAGAGACTGGGCTGACGGTCCATCTTCTTCACCGCCTGAAACAAAGCCACCGTGTCGGCTCAGTAAGAGACAGTAGCACAGAAAGTTTTAAAATGGAACAGCAGAGGTTGATACCTTGTCACTCAGTGTGGGGTCATTCAGAGAGTACAGTTTGTTGGTGATGTCTTTCCCGATGAGGTAGCGGAAAACCTCGTTGAGGAAAATGTCTGACTCCAGGAAGTAGGTGAGCCTCTCTCGAGACCAGCACAAGTATTTACAGTTCTCCTCTGCAACAATGGTCACCTAGCAATTGTTATCAATTCAAAAGTTTTAAAACAATGAAGTTCTGATTTTGTTAAATATGTAGTTTAGTGTATATTCTGGATATCACCTGGAACTTCTCCCCTCTGTGCATCTCAGTGGACCTGAACTCTGGGGAGTCAATAAAGGCATTGGTGTAGATGTTGTGGAGGAAGTGACCTCTGTATGACACCTTCATCCTGTCACAGAGAATCCACAAGTTGGAGCTCTGAATACATATTTTAATCAACTAAATAACAACTCAATGTTGTTAGTTGAAGGAGTATTACCAGTAATGACCACTAGGTGGTAGTCAAGTGTCGTAGAACGTATTATAGAGTGTTGAGCTAGTTGATTTAATGAATGGATACACGTAGATCTTGGTAAAAGAACAACACGAGGCTAATCAATGAACAACCATTGGGAAAAACAACTTTGGCTACAAACAATAATATATTTGTACTTTTGTTTGAATTGTCTGTAATTTAACTTGTTTTTTTATCATTAGAGACAAATAGAGAGACAATAATATAAAAAAGAATGGTAGGATATGGTTTATTAAAACCTTTTAGAAGCCTGATAAACTAGGCACAAACAAAAGTAACTGTCTTTTATTGTTGAAATGTTGTTAAGTGAGAGGACCTTTACATAAACCTTTGACATTAAGCAGTGTATTTGCTTTTTTATTTTTGGTTAAAATAAAATGATTTTTGTTGAGACAAAATCAAAAGCGATGACAGGGTTTTCTCTGAGATGTTACAGATAAAGGAAGTCACATACTTTCCTTTGAGCAGAATGCTGAGGCGTTCGTCAACAGAGGTCTTATCTTCGGCAGCGTAGGCCTGGCCTTTCTTTAAGGTCTGGATGGTGCAAAACTGTCCCGTCAGCCTCTGAAACAGAGACTCCCGCACATGCAGGGGCTCAAACATCCGTTTGTAGACGGAGCGCAGCTCCCTGTCAATCTTAATCTGACAAAAGTAGGACAACAGTTCTCATGTTTTATCTCACGTCATATATTAAAGAATGTGATTCTCTAGGAGCAGTGAGTGAAGGAGGACAGGTCTCCTGTCTCATTAGGAAAAGTTCTGGTCTGATTCTATCAACCTGATGGTATCCCCCTCTACCCCCTGCCCTCCCTACTTATACAGAATCCCCTTTGGCAGCCATGATAAAAACCTGCATCTCATTACCATAAACAGGAGTGACCCCTGGAGGTAATGCTGTTTCCTACCAGCGACAGTAAGAAATACCTGAAACCCTGAGCCTCAGCAAATAAATAAAACACACACACACAGAGAGAGACCAATGTCCAGCTCAGTATTTCAATCAGAGTAAGAACACCAGAGTGGGCTGAATGTGAAGTGACTGCTAAGATGGTGTGTTTTGGGAGGTGAGGACTCACAGGTCTGCGCTTGTACATGAGGAAGAAGAGATGCATGAAGTTGACCACCAGGAACACCACATTCCACACCATCACATCCATGTTGCATCGGTACAGAGTCGCCCACGCAATGAAGAGGCCACATCCTGTCAGGGTCACCGACACAGGGCAAATTAGATATAGACAATTCTTCACTGGGAGAGTTTTTGTGTGTTACTTTTTTGTTAAGTCCCAGTCATTTATCAGGTGATTGTGGGTAATGCTCCTGTCTCACGGTGGACATGTGATTTCAGTCTCTGCTACATGCTGATTGTGTCAAATGCTCTGAGTGGTCATTGGGATTAATGCTTTATACATAGAAGAAGAAAAAGAAGTAGTAGTAGTAGCAGTAGTAGTAGTAGTAGTAGTAGTAGTAGTAGTAGTAGCAGTAGTAGTAGTAGTATGGAATGCAGTGGTATGAAGATGACTTTAAATTATACAAACATGTTTACCCAATTAATTGTTTTGACTATTTTAAAACCAAACTCCAGACAATACCAGTTTAGTCTGGTTTTTGACTAAATTCTATTTATTTATTTCATTTATATTATACCTTTTAGTCTGAAAAAAGGGACAAAGCCGAAAGGAAAAGAAGTCTGGGCATTACTGTTTAACTTTATTTATTTAAATTCCCTTTTTGTTTATTTACCACCTATGTATGTGTGTGAATCCATGTGACTGTTTATGCACATATAGGAATGTGCTTATACAATTCTTGGATATGTGTGTGTTTGGGGCGGCTGAGGGGGGTAGTTGCTTTTATTAAGTGAAGCACTTAAGTCACGTCGACCACGTCAGTGAATGTTTACTTGGCAGCACCTTGTTGTTTGCTAAAAGTCTAAACTGACTGTCTTCACAGTCATGGTCACCATGTGCAGTAGCTGACCTGACTGTGGTAAACCCAGCTTTTTACATGAGTTCCAGTCGTACTTGATCCACCGCCCACTGCAGCTTTCAACAGTAGTTAGTGAGTGCAGATGAATACAAATGATTTCACTCAACAGTTTTTATTTTAATCTAACTAACAAAGCTATCAGCTCGGCAGCTCCGATGTAAAATCTTTTGAGGAAAAATAGACCAATATAAATAAACGAACTGTCATACAGTCATGTTTCCCATAAATCCCGTTGCTTCCTGTCCCCACTCTCTTTCCAAGTACAATGTAAACACACTGCAAGTGTTTTTTTTTCCACTGGCTCTTCTCTCCTTTCTTTATCTGCTACTATCACAGTCCTGTCGGTTCTCAGCAGGGTCAAATCTGCTCTTGTTGTTTGGATCTAGACTTTATATTTAACTTAATGAATTGAGCTAGACTAGAAGTTTACTGCTGCTTTGATCCACACCGCTGTTAATGATACATATAAAATAAAAAAAAGTCTCCTAATGGCAGTGTGGAGATCACAGGGGTACCATCTGCAGGAGGTGATGATCACCGACTGACCTGTCATCAGCAGGAGACGTAGCAGGATCATGTGCAGACCCAAAGTGGTGGGGATGACCAGGCCCAGCAGCAGGGACAGGTTTCCCAGATGGAAGAGGAGGTGGTGGGTCTGCTCCCACTCCTGGCACAAGGTGACATTGGAATCAGCCTCCAATCCTGGTGTGGGTGAGGGAAAGGAGGGCAGTGTTGGGTAGAAGAGGAGGGGTTGATCTGAGGGAGAAGCCATCCTTCAGATGGGTCACCTTCAAGCATAGAGGAAGGTTAGGGAGAAAGGGAGTGGATGGGCTGGAAACTCGAAATGCATGTTTGATATGGAGATGTTGGATCTTCTCTGGCAGTTAGCTCTGAAGTCTGATTTCAAAAAGAATCTGGACCAGTTCAACCCTTTAGGGTGAGGGGTTTTATGGAAATGGAAGATAAATGATGAGAATTTAAGTCACTGACAGGGAAATGTTTTAAATGCAAACCGTATTATTGCTCCCTCACTGAATCTATATCCTTGTCTGTTCCTCTGTCTAAGGCAGTTTAGTCCTATTTCACTGTACATGTGATGCTGATGACTGTTTGACTCTGTCTTTCCTTTGGTCTGACATGTGAATACAGTTGAAAGTCAATGTGGTTTCCTGATGAAGGTTTGAGTAAAACAATGGAAACTAACATATAAAGTAGAACAGACTCTGTCTCCAATTAGGGACATACAGCGCTTGTTTAAAAATGTGTGACTCATAGGACGCTCACAAAATAATTTACTACAAAGTTACTGTGTGTGCGCGCGTGTGTATATAAAAATAGATGAGCATGTACTCTGAGACAGCACATCTTGAACGTACCTACAACTTTACAACATGGAAAAATCAGTACTTACCGCTTCTTCTGCTGCCGCGAGCGAAATGCGGGTGTGCACCGCACAGATTCAGAGGGTTTTAGAGAACGGTTTGAAAGCTTCAGACACCGCTGGTGACCACTGAGCTTCTGCTCAGATCCAGGACTGCACAATGTGCGCCGCACATTCCACACTGTTGACAGCCGAGCGACTAAAATAGGCAGGGAGGTATGCGCCTGCAGTGTGCCAGAGATCCGAAGGGGGGAGACAGAGCTCAGTCAAACCATATGCTGATTGGTACACTTTCTTTTTACATTCATTTTTTCATATTTAACAAGTAAAATATATATTTTGCATTAGATTATTATTTATTATTATTACAGTATTATTTACAGTACATTTACATTAACTGACTTCATTTCAAATCTACGGTGACACTCAGTGAAAGATACAGTGTCCCCATCGTTACTTGCTCATGAATGAATCAGATTCAACAATTGTTATTGCTTATATCTTGATATGTCACTGAAGTCTTTTCACAGCTACTAGTCTTACAGTCTTTGACTTTTTGAGGATCAGATTTTATTTTGGCAAACAACCACATATGTATTTAGAGAACTGGATTCTGTTGTCCGAGGTGACAGCCCATTTATTCTAATTAAAGTTTCTCACAGGGTGTAAATGCCCAAGTACTTCTTCAAGCTTTCTCCGGTTTCTGTACTCGTAAAACACAGAAGTTGACTTCTACTTTTGTGTTGTTTAGTTGTTTAAAACAGACATTTGTTGTGTTCAGTTCAGTCCTTTTTTGCAACAGAAACCATTTACTAACACAAAGACACACACGGCTCACTGCGGTGACTGTTCAAGTCATAGTGAAGATTTAATATGTTTACTCAAAATCACAGGATCATCATAGTAAGATGCAACATTTACCACATTAAAGCAGCCTATTGATTGTATGGACACAAAAAAGCATCAAATGCTAGTAAAGAGTGTGACATTTATTTGTCATTTTAACACATATCAAGAAGTGAATAAATCGGATCACTGCATGATAAGTCAGATTGAAAAAGGCCAAGTAGTTTAGTTCTTCAACGTCTCACATCCATGGAGGCAAAAATGGCAACTTTACAAGCCTTTGGAGTTGTGTGAGAGTTCCCAGATATCAGTCTCTTGAGGATATTATCTCCGCTTGAGTTGACAAGATCAATGGCAGGTTGACCTGCTCTCCTACAGTAACTACCACACACATATTTACATTTATTAAGGCTCACCTCACATTCTTCATTAACATTATATTTACATTATTTTCCTGCTCATAGTGAGTCGGTTACAAACAAGTCAAGTCTGGAGCAGTGTGAACATGTGTGTGTTTTTAGGCAGTCCTTCCACTCTGCACTGGCACTTGTAAGACATCTGCCTTTTCTAATTCAGGCCCTGGCATGTGACAGTAACTGGGTAACCGGAGATCGTAGCGATGGCCGGACTCGTTGAAAGCCTTGTCGTTCAGGGAGTACAGCTTCTCTGCAATGTCATTTCGCACAATCAGGGCAAAGATCTTGGCAATGTAGCGATGTTTGGCGAAAAGCAGATAGAGTTTCTTTCTCTTCCACGCCACGTACCGACAAGGGTCATCGGCACGTAAAGTCACCTGGAAAGAGGCAGTGATTAGACACAGAGATGGGGCTGATGGAAAAACTAGTGTCAGAGTAGCAGTGCTCTTTGGAGGAAGTTCAAGGTTTTCTACTGAACAATTCAATTTATGCTTGAAGCATCCATTTAAATGCACTTGCTTTTGATTTGTTGTCAATATATTCAGTGAGTTCATTCAGCAGTATTTTTTTGTGCAAACAAAAAGCTTCACAGCAGCTGTTAGAGTCTCTACACTATTCATAGTAGCACAGGCAGGCATCAGAAGAAAACTGCACATAAATCTACACTGTGGTCACACAGTGTTTCTGAGGGAAATGTATTAAACAACAGGAGGATATCTGGATCAGCCAGACGAGCACTGGCATCTGGGTCAGGCCTGCAAGAAGCAGGACTGTCACATATGGAATTTTTAAAATTCTTATAAAAATTGTTATCCAGTGGGTTTGCATACATGGGCATTGCTTTGAACCACTAATAAAATACATTAATTACATGTAGTTTTGTAGATACATCAGTTAAAGGTTAAAGGGACATTTAAAGGATTTTTTTAATAGAGACTTTAGTGTCATAGTTATCCATATATATATATCTGAAAAACAATGCCCTCTTAAGGGACCGTAGATAATATATATATATACATATATATGTATATATATATATATGTGTGTATATATATATATGTATATATATATATACATACATATGTATATATATATATATATACACATATATATATACACACATATATATATATATACATATATATATATACATATATATGTATATATATATATTATCTACGGTCCCTTAAGAGGGCATTGTTTTTCAGACACTTCCATGTAAAAATGGCTCATTGAAAGTTCTTAAAATAAAATCTAAAGATAAAAACGACATACGTACTAATTTTGATATCATGTTAAATGCTGAAATGAGAATTGGGGTTAGAACTAGAAGACCTTTCTTATTTTCATCATTACATACAATTGTTAGTTGAATGACTGCACCTGAAAAATGCCCTCCTCTGCTGGTCTGAGGGAGTCCCACTCAGGCGAATCCAGAAACTGGAAGGGGTGGATGTAATGCAGGAACTCTCCATTTACAGTCACACACACTCTGTGTAGAACAATATATGCATAATAATCAGGATGCAGTATTCTATTATCTACTATCATGTACTACACTAAAAAGCACATGTGCATAACTGTAACTGATGACCGTGTTGTTTGACACCAGGTCACCATTGTTTGTCAAACGTTTTGACGAATGAAGACTAAATTAGTCAGTGATGAGTTGACTGTCTTGACATTCAAGACATTATTTAATAAAATAAAGATAAACTTTGTGTTTACAAAAATGCAAAAATATTTTTGTTTATTGTCATCTATATATCAGCAGCTGAGGGTCTTTGAGTACATCCAAATTTTATTGTTTTGTAATTTTTTTTTCACACCAGAAATGGTCAGCATTTTTTGTGTAGTCAGAATAAAAATTACAGACTTAACCAACCATGAAAACAGTTGTCAGTTGTAGCCTTCTGTTCATTTATATGATTCATCTCTCTTTGAGGTGTTGTCTTTTTTACCTTCATAGTTTAAAAATGAATTCATTAATTTACAAAATGTGTAACTGTACAAAAACATTATGACGCAAGACCTGGAATGGGATGGAAATGCCTTCAAATTTACCCTACTTTGATTGGATGTTGGTGGAGACGAGTGATTTAATGGACAGGTAGATGGTTGTTTTACTGTAGATCCAAATTATCTCAAAGGAATCAGTAAAAAAAACTGTCATATTTAAAGTAGTGTTTCTTTCCTACAGACTTACTTCAGCTTTCCAAATTATTCCAAATGAATCGGTATTAAGTGGTGTAACTACATTTGAAAACCTTAAATATGTATGTATTATTAATTTAATTGAATTTACTTTATTTATACATATATATGTTGTGATAATTTGATTTAATGAATTTAGCTGAACTTAATTCTATAACTGTATGGTCACTTATTCAGTTCTAGTGAATAGCATCTCCAATAGAATGGAATAGTATATTTAAATTGTATTATATTTATTTATTTAATCTTTTGATCTACCAATACTTCCTCAGTAGATCGTGATCTACCATACAGTTCAGTCCTGACTCACATATTAAGAAAGAATATTTTATGGTAAAAGCGGCTACACTTGTAGAAACTTTAACTTATCTGACCACATCAGCTGCCCATGGTCACACACACTAATTCGCAGCTGACTTTAAACGGAGGTCAGTGTGCCTCTGGGTCACCACGTCACCTGCCGGACAGCAGCACCGACAGTTTGTCGATGGGGGTTTTTCCCTCGATGGCAAAGCAGTTGTTCGTCTCCAAAGTGTGGATGTCACTGTCGCAGCAAGCTATTATCTTCCCGAACTGGGAAAGTGACACCCCGAGCTTCTGGAAGAGGTGCTGGTAGAGGTCCTGGAACTCCCTCTCGAAGGAGACGCTCCGCAGGCGGTGGGCGACGTGCAGCACCTGCCCCAAAGTGACGCCGAACAGAGCGAAACTCCACAGGAACGTGTCGGTGGTGCAGGGGTCCGACCAAGCCCACAGCGTGGAGCAGAAGAAGCCCAGTGCGAGGAAGGTGAACAGGTAGAGGAGTCCGTAGAAGCCGCTGCCACCCATGAAGCCGAGGAAGAGGAAGATGTTGGCCAGGTGGAAGACGGCGCCCTCCGCTCCTTCCCTCCACTCCTCACACAGTGGGTACATCGGCGGCACCTGCTCCACCGTGTAGTTCATGGCTTCGAAGTCCGGGGGTTCCATGTCTGTGACCAGAGTGACCCAAACACTAACACTGAAGTTACCGTAAACCCATTCAGCGGCCGACGTCACGCTTTATTCTGTATACAAACTTTTGCCTAGAATGAGAGACGGCAGAGAGACGCACCAGGAGAGAGTGACGATGGAGAACTGACAGCAGACTTAGAGGAGAGAGAGCGGGGAGGGAGCGACGTACGAGCACCGGAAATAGAAAAATAGAACCACAGCAAGTCTATTCAGGGCGCACACACTTCTAATGATGATTTATATACAAACAAAAACGAACTATGTGTCAAATGTTTTATTAAGTGATAAATTATAAACCCTGTAATATTGTATAGCACTGATGATAAAGATCTGGGTTGGAACCCATGCATGGGTCACGAAAGGTTCAAAAAATAAAATAAAATAAGTCACAATCAATTTTCTTAACAGCATACACTTTGGCGGGATACAAAATATCTTATATATGCTCAAACCAGTATATTAAAATCATATCTGTAAAATGTAGGGACCACCACTGCTGAGTATCAAAAACAAGAACTTAAAGGGATGTTCTTATTGCCTCTGCTGGTGCACTGATAATAAGTAAACTTTTTCTTTCTCCCAAAAGAACCTTCATAATTATTAAGTATGGTGAAATTAAAGAGCCACGTTAAGGATAAAAACAAATATGAAAAATTACAAGAATAAAGTAGTAAGATCACAAGGATGAAATCGTAAGTTTTAAAGATTAAAGTCATAAGTATGTATGATGTGTTTGGGGAGGGATGGGAGAAAAGCGCACAGTGGTAACCATAAGTGTGTCAGAATGACAAATGTGGAGCTTTTTTTAATTACCTTTTGTTTTGTTTTCAATGCGGCCTTAACACTCCATATATATTGTGATGTCAAAAGATTCAGTACTTTGAGGTTTATCATCACTCCTGCATTGATGTCTGAGGTGCCACTCTGACTAAAAACAATCATAACTTAACTCAATTCTAGTATACTGTATTGGAAAAATTGTCCTAAATCTCTTCCTCCTGCTGTATGTAACAGAAATAGAACCAAAATCAAAAGTAGGTATTTATCTTAAAAGTAGCTCCTGTGTGACACTGTTCTCAAAAACCGAATAAAATGCAGGCAGTTCATTAGAGAGTTTCTGTATCAGCACTCTTTTTGTTTGTGAAGACATACAAAGGAGAAAAGAACTTGTCCTCATTTATCAGAGCTTCTGGAGGAGCGGGCCAGTGTGAGGAGTGATCCTTGTGGACCAGAATAGCTGCAGTGCTGCCTGCAGTGAGTACCTGGTCAAGGTGACTGTGACTATTTGTTAGATGGTGGAAAGTGAATGTGGGGTGGTGCCGCACATCAGAATATCTAGGGCAGCAGTGAGGGACAGTGGACCCCAGGGTGTACTTCATATCATGTCACATGTAAGCATTTTGAGCTGAAACATTCTCTCCAGGTCTGGCCTAGTTTTTCCAGACGAGGGTTAATGATGAAGGAGAGTAACAGCATGGCAGGGGCATCAGATGTCACATCTGGAGCTATTTTTACTTGGATTCAAGTTTGTTTATGTGTGTGTATATCTGGGGGGGGGGGGGGGGGGGGGGCGGGTATGTGGACAAATGTTTGATTTCACGCACAAGGAAATCAGAGAATTTCCTGGACACTGTGTGTATTGGTGTGTGTGTACCTATGTCTAGATGTCCTGGCAAACATTTTGCATGAAAAGGGATGACAGCATAGCATTCAGACTAACATTAGATGTATATTAGATACATGTGATAGAAGTTCTGTCCAATTACATTCACCCTTCCCCAAAACTTGCCCACAACAAACAACTATCACTCACTTGACGACTCTGTCACATGAGCTTATAGGTGTTAGCTGCCTGTCCCTCTTTATTTTTAGCAATCCTGGATTGAGTGCTAACTGTATTGGCACTGGACCTGTTGCAGGATCCAGTCTGATATCAGCAGAAGTCAGGTTTACTGTCTAGTTGGATTTTCCAGATTATCACACAATGACCAGTTAGTCCACAGTGTAGGGATCTGCAAGTGTTTGCACTTGAACTATTTATGGACTCTCTTTGGTCAACAGCTTCATATATGGATTGTACCTGATGTCGAAATGTAAAATGACACTGAATAAAACCCAAATTTCCACCAAACATTATTTGAAACCACATAATTATACATAATTAACTCCTTGCTAAACTCTCCTCACGATAGCATAGCTCACGTAGGGATGCTTGCTCCCTACTTTGAGAACTACTGGAAAAGATTAAGATAAGCTGATAAAGACCTGCAGTTACCTATGGAGAGACCTAATACATTTGTATTTAATGCAAAGGTGAGTTACTAATTGCTTTCACATTTTTAAAACAGCATCATCTCAGTGCCTGAGCAAATAATGCTAATAGCATATTGAGACTGAAATGACAGGCAGAGCAGGATACCTTGACAGACTGAGGATCGGCGGTAGACTGGAGGATAGCCCTGAATTGACCCGGCCTTGGCTCCAAAAATAGATTCTCAAGTTAGCATATAAATGAGATGCTCTCCTGGACGGCTACTGACAGCCAGTCTGTCTAGTCAACACATGTGGTTTGACACTGCAGCTCCATGTTTCCTCCAGAATTGTCATTCATAGCATCAGCACTGTTTCACCTTAGCCTCAGAGGATCAGCACGGATCAATGCCAATCAAAGTACTGCAGTTTGTAACTAAACTACCTTCAACTGCCTTCAAACTGGCTTCAAAAGTTGATGCACTTCATAGAATTGCAATTAAGACTAAAGCTGTTGTTTAATAACTATGTATAATGGGAGCATCCACCAAAAGCAAGGAAAACAGTTATGTTTGTCTGCTTATGTGTGCTGAAATTTGAGTGATTAAAAAATAAAACAATGCTGAGAGAGCCAAATGCAGCGGCATTTGGCTCTCTCACAATCTATGGTTACTAATATAATGAAATGACTTGCAGTCTTGGGAGTAATCTCTCGGGTTAGAGTTGTAAACAGTGCAGCTTCCTTGACTATAATCAGTGATCCCTCATTCTGCACACATTACAGAATGGTGACTTGGTAGACAGACAGAGCATGTGTACTTGACTGGACCGCATGTGTTCCAGACCTGCTGACCATTTCTGGTTCAAACTGCAAAAAGCTACCATAAGAAATGCACAAGGTGCAGATGAAAACCCTCATTTTTGACAGCTACAGCATTCTCTACAACAAAGAAGACTATTTCTTTTTAGAAGACTCTGAGATGTGTCAGGAGGGTTTTGTGCCTTTAAACTGCCTATAGTATATCTGAGGGCTGAGTGACGGCAGCTATTATCTAACCTTTACGATGTCTTTTAGGCCAGCCACTCTGGAAAATGGCACAAAAAGAAGTGGTTTCTTATCTGATGTGAGGATTATGGCAAACCATTCTTCTTCTTCTCTTTACTGACCCCATCACATATCTGTTAATGGACATGAAATGTGCTTCCTCTGCATCACCAGAGCCTTTATTTCCTCACTCTCCACACACACCGAGGAGCAGGCTTTGCTTGTTGTTTGGTCATCAGGGAAACAGATGAGTTCATATGATACTTGTTCAAGTTTTATAGGACAGGAAATGAAAGGAAACTACTCACAATGGCTTCAACATCTCCAACAAGGCAAAATGAGCAAAGCATGACATTTTCTTATGGCCTTTTTGGCTTGAGTCATCCTGGGATTAAAGTCTTTTTTCTCTTGTTTTTCTCTAGTCTTGTTTTCTCCTCTAAAGGCCAAGTTATAAGACTATAGTTATAAAAATGTCTCACACTGGTTAAATGTACTTTTAAAGTGCATAAAAATGACCACATGTTTCAGCTTCAATCAGTGTTCGAGGGTATAACGAATCAAAACAAATTGATGATAGAGAATATTTTAATAGATTAGAGACAAAAAAGACTAGAAAGTAATGATTCTACTGTTTAAAATTCCAAAAGCAAACTCTAATAATTCGTTATAAGATCATTCCTTGGCAGAGGCCACAGATATCACATTGTTCCTTAATGGAATGTTGCAGTGAAATGCTCCCAAAGTATCAAATAACAGTACAGGAAATGAAAGATTCTTGGTGAACGAATCTTTTCATTAGAATTATTTTATGTTAGAAAGCCACTTTTTATTTTTAATAATACACCTAGTTTAACAAACACCAGATGGAATGTTGCATTTCATATTGTGTTGTCGTCAAAAAGAGGTATTGTCAACAAATATTTAATCACAGTGTCTATAGAATCAAGAAAAGGCAACCGAACATCTCTTACTGATGGAGTTCTAGATATTTCATTATTAAATACTTGTTTGTTTGGAGACTTTATCCCATTCTGTTAGCCATCAGTAAATAACCATGTCTAAGTGCAGTCTGGTCACACCACATAGCCTGGACAGTCCTCCGTGCTAGTGTTCCGACTTACTGATCTGCAGGATTATAATTAGGAAACGTTGGCATACAAAAATGCCGAGAGGAAGCAAGAATGTCTGCAGAAAAAAATCTGAAAATCAGAATGGAATTGTTCTCACAGATATTTCTGTCTAAACAAAAGTCGTTTTAGTGATTGTGTGTGGCTGAGACATTGTCTATTAATAACTGGGCGGTTCTGAGCACCGAGCACGCTCAGACAAATACTCAGAGCGTGGTGTTGAGTCATGGCAGCGGGGGTGCAGGCGAAGACCTGGCAGAGATGCTGAGGACCACTCAGTGCTCCTCCACAGACACAAGATGGTGTGTAGCCAAGACAACCCTGATGGTAGCCTCATCACAGACACCTCTGCTCATGCTTCCCGCCCTAATGTCTCCCCCACACATTTCATTGTCACCTGCCAGTAGAGAGCTTGATCTCTTAGGACTTCACATGATTACAAGTAATCATGATTACAGCTCTAAATGCAATGCAGGGCTGATTGCACTGACAAATAATCAACCGTGTCATTGGATGACTGTGGATCAAAACAACAATCATTTTGAGCTGATTTGAAATAATCAGAGTTGATTTCTGGGGAATGTTTTTGACATTTATTCATGCCATTTTTACACTCTTGCACACTCAATATACAAATACTTAGCAAAAATCTAAATAATTGGTGGACATTCTGTTTTCACCAATAGAATTTCTTAAGAAACCCATCTGCAGACCATCTGACTTGGGAGATTAGAGTATAGAGTTTGTGTGATGTTTTTTTCACTGTAATGTTTGATAGATGGATATAGTTGGTGATTATGTTCAGTAACGTGATGATTTATGTCATAGAGTCGTCATTTAAGGAAACGGCCTGTATATATTAACATGTGATGATGGTGTTCTTTTAGTAAAGGAATAAAAGCACCCTCTGCTGGACAAATATGACACATAACACCTATTGAACTATACCAAGTCGACAGCTTTTAATTCTTCACTGAATAACTGTTCAACGAACTCTCCTTACATTAGAAAATGACATCGCATTCACGCAATACAGGTTTTTGCTGTGTAGTAAAAAGGTGCAACATGGTTCATGATAAAAACACACCCCACCATATAAATTAGGAAAATTGATTAACAGTTAAGGTTAAATCTAAACTATAAATTAGGCTACAGCTTTATAGTGACTTTTATGCATAATACACCATGTGTGCAATCGGTTTCTGTATTGTTTCACTCCAACGAATGTCTAATAACAGGATTTCAGCAGTTTCATGTCAGGATATATTTGAATCTCAAAAACAGGGGCTAACAGATATAACAAGCTATAAAAGAGTTTGAATATTACACCAAACATTGGCAGTTTTAGCTGATATCATCCAAGCATCACACACGTTTTTACTTCCCGTACAAGTGAACACCCAGACACACAGTCACACACACTGGAAGTCATCTGAAGGAGTCCTGTGCCACTGTCTTATTTGATGGCCTGCCAGATGATGATGAAGAGGATGATGAGCACGAGTGTCATCACCATGGACAGCATGCACATCCTCTTCCGACTTTTCCTCTGCACAGAGGAAACATGTCACAACGTTCTTGTTAGACTTCTAAAACTATATACAAGTACTTTGACTCACATCAATATGATATGATAACCTTAAAATAATATGTTTAGGTAAGTTTATTTTAACGCAGTGATTAATAAATTGCTGCAGTATACTACAAGTCATTTTAGTTACACTTTAGAAATATTTACCAAGAAATAATTAAGTTTATGGCCAGGAAAATGCAGACTTGAATGCTTGAACAACTTGCTTAAAGAATAATTTTGGGCAAAGTGATTTGAACCAACTAAAATCATTGTCAGATGTTGCTAACATTATCTAAAACCTACATTAAACTATTATAAAAACAATGTCATCAATTAGGGAAAACTTAACAAGTGTGATGTCAGCTAAACATTCAGTGTAAATGTAGACTTATCTAAAAAGTTAACTGAAAATGTCGAGGTCTAGGAGTACAGTGACAGGTTAAAGAAAGACAAAGAAATAAACACATGTAATGCCAACATTTATCTGAATCATATTTAAAAAAAATAGGATAAAAGTCATATCTATATTAATAAGTTAATAATTATTGTTACCCGATAATAAGCTGCCTTCTGTAACTGAATGGCCCCTCTGTCCACATAAACATCAGCATTCTCCACATTGGCCTCAATGCTGTCTGTGAACACAGGAGCATCAGTGTTAACATGTGACATTAGAACCAAACTCTGTGAAACTGAATCTAAGTTTTTGGTCACCCTCACCGATCATATCTCCTTGGTCATGTATCATTGTTGCCAGGTCCTTAAAGATCTGGTTCACATCCATGATGTCAGCCTGAGAAGGAAACAAAGTATTACTGTATTAACAAAAAAACGCAACCACTGTGTGGCAGTATAGCATTTCTGCCTCACAAGGTGCAGATTCACACCTCCAGCTGTTTGATGTTGGTCTCTCTCTCCCTGATGATCTCCAGATCTTCCTGTGTGATGGGGTGTTCAACAGTCTGAGTAAAGCTCTGTCCCCATTCGTCCTCCCTGCACAGTCATCCATAGACAGTAACACATTTTTCCTCTAAAGGCATTTGCACTCATCCAATAAGAATGTAATTATAGTATTACCTATGACATTTAGACGCAGAGGAGATATTCCAGATACTTACTTTTCAAATGTCACCAGCTGTTCGTTTACATTTCCTCCATCTCCCTGTTGGCAAATAGGTTTCTTCATCATCATCAACAGCAAATCACTACACAACATAGTTGATTTTTTTTAACCATTCACCACAGCCATAGCCACTCATCAACTAAAACTGAGTCATTTGTGAATGTACAATGTATTTAGTACCATGACTCTGGATCCAGCTCGAGCTCGAGCCACCGACTCCCTTTCTTTCTCCGCTGTTTTGCGCTGCACTACTTGAAAGTTGTTGAGAGCTGCAGCAAAATCATTCATCAAACGATCCTTCTGCAGCTTCTGCTGCCTCTGAAAACACAGAAAAACCACAGGAAAGAATCAAGCAAAGGTTTTATTCAGTCTTATTGTATAATCACATCTTATGAAACCCAAATGAACAACTGCTAAGGCAATTTTTCCTCAGAGTCAGAGCAGGTGGAGATAAAACGGTGTCCAGTGTCCAAACAGACTGACTCCATTACATGAACACATACCTGTTTAATAAAACATTATTCAGTGATGGCTTTCAGAACATAATATTAAAAAAAAAAATACAATATTTAAGGAATAAAAATTAGACTACAATTGTACATCCAAGGCTTTAATTTATATGCAATAACTGGAAAAATAAACAAGACATTAATAAGGTAATGCCATTATTTACAGACTGACCTGCTCTGATGGAGATAGTGTTGGGGGCAGTGAGCCGAGCTCCTTCAAATGTCTGTTGGTTTCTTTGGCAAGCTGGTTGGTGTAGTGTTGGAGCTGTTGGCTGAAGAAAAACAAACATTCAATTAGGAAATATATTCTATAAACCACAGGTATGTTTATATATGGCTCACCAAAACAAAGCATACTTTGACACATATATACTGTATAACAGTATAATATATGCAACTGATTACTTCCTAGCTGCTAGCATGTTCATGTGGCCTCAGCAGGAGTAAGCTTAGTTTTCATACAGAAAGTATATCTTTTCACTGATTACAAGCAAACAAGCTGATTACAAAACTGTTATTTTCATACTTACAGCCTCCCCTGGAGCTCTGAGGTTTCCTTTCTAGTCTCCAGTTGGGAAAGTAGTTTTTTGATCTGACCAGCTAAAAAAAGAAGAAGAAGAACTGACCAAACAACTCACAAGTGTTTTGTAGTGTTCATCTAGTTTGTGCAGATGATGTTGATGTAGAAAATCGAGGTGAGAATAAAACTATTAAAGTAAGAGTGAAAAATGGTGTAGTAGTGGTTGTTTAAGGAAAGCAGTTTGAAAATAAATGCAGATTGAGGGAAAGACTAAGACTAAATGAAAGGAGGAAGAGCCCATATGTGTTTGTTACATGCACTGAAGACTGGGGTTATAATGGTAGGTTTAACTTTAAAAGGACAGTTTCAAATTAATGCATATGGACCAACCTGGTGCCAATTGAAGGAGCAATTAAAGGGAAAAAAACTTACAGTTTTGGTTGATCTTCTGGATGTTGACACTGCATAACTGGATTACGGTGCTTGTACCCTGTGGCTGGGACGAACTGCTCTCTGCTCGCATATACGACATCCTGGCTGTAGATGTCGCTGCTGCAATAGACGCCACTAAAAAGACAAGCTAAAACAGTTACACAGGTTGTTGTTATTGTTACTTTCGTCAGTGCATTGCATCTAATTTTAATTGTAGTATTTGTTTGTTTTGGGTTTTTTTCTGAATGAGTAAACTGTCATGTGTAAATAGCAATCTCAAGAAATAAACTAGAGATACATTTTAATACCAAAGCTATATATATTAGCCTTCTCATTATTTTGAACATTGTGTTGTTTCTGTGTCCTGTACCATAACTTAAAATGCATACGATTAATGATTAAACTAAGAAGAAAATGAACATAGATACTTTCGTTCTAAACAATATTACTGACGTGTGATTTGTACCTGACAGGTGTACGAGTCTGTCTAATTCATATCATAGTGTTTTAGTACGCATACAAAAATAGTAGTATTACGTTATGGTTAAAGATACAAGGCATGATTGTAGTTGGAGAACAAGTGCTCCATCTCATGGTCTGGTCGCGTGGTAGTGTCTCTTAACAGCCTACTTTGCTGCGTAAAGTGCGTTCTCCATATTTAAGGTTTGCTTTGTTTTTTCTTTCATCAGATTCTGTGATTGTGAGCAGTTTTACACAAACACTGAAAACTATCAATCGTTACCCTTCAAATACTAACAACATCAATATTGGTGATTGCCTTCTACAAATCTATAAAGGGCAGCATGTTGTTGTGCATCTTTAACAAAGGAGAGTTTAGATTTTCAGTAAAAGCCTGTTTTCTGGTAGAAACTGTGAGAAAATTCCATCGAGGCCAAACCCCAGTCATCACGTGGATTCATTTTCTAACAGACTACATTGAAAATAGGGCAGAGCGCAGATCAGCTTCCAGAATGTTGACACTAGTTCACATCAGATTTTATTAGACTATCGGCACATGTTAATGACTACTCTGCCACAGAAGAAGCTCAACACACGTGAACAGTACATTTTTAACAAGCCTTAGTTAATTTTAGCGATAATATAACCGTCGGCTGTATCACTTTGTGGTAAATAACCGCCGCAGTGTTTTAAAACAGAGAGTAGGAAAATAAATCTTACTTTGCAGTCAAATGCGGTCCTTTATCTCCCCGGGTCACAGGAATGATGGTGTGTGGTCACAGTTTACAGTATGTGGTTACAGCAATAAGGAGAGAGAACGACGGCCCGTCACAGATAATCCCAACGCAGCTTCCATGACGCCTTCACTGTCTCAGAGTAAACATGGGAAATCACAGCAACGAAAAAAACCCAAACTTTTACTTACAGTATATCAGTAGCATTTTTCCACCCAAAATTGCAACACAAAACATGTTACAACTTATGTTGTGTTTTTTAAGAAATAAAATCGATATTTAACTAGATATTCAGAAAAAAGATTGTATTTTCATTTGTTTTTAAAAAGTCACATTGCAGTACTACTACAATTACTAGGAGTCCAACTGCTACGACTTATACTAATGGCTAATGCTACTACAGTACACTCATTTTATTTCTTTTACAACTACTACAACAAAACCTCGCTACTACTATTGCTACTATGAGTAATGCTGTTACTACCAATACAGTTACTACCTCACCCTATCGGCTCTTACTAATACTACTTCTAATATTCACGTCATCGATAAGACATATAGAATAAATAAACAATACATATAATATTAAAATATATTAATAAATAATGCTGTGCAATACTGAACCCTAAATGCAACACGGACAGAGCTGTCTTATGACGCTCTATTGTAGTAGAGGTTTTAAAGTAGCGGCACGAATTTCTTGATCGTCCCTGACCCCTGAAACCTAATGATTTCAACATCCGTAACCTGACCTTTAACAATCCTCTGTTCACTAGATGGCCTCTCTTTCATCTTTTTTTCTTTGCTTATTTGTTCTGCTCTTTCTTCCATTGTATGATGTTCAACAACTCCATTAAAGGTCGGAGGATAAAGCGTTTTTACTTAAATCTTTTTTTGCACTGCTGATGTTAAAGGATGACCTGGTGTGGCGGGTCACAATAATCTTGTGCTTGTCTCGTGACTTTCCACTCGCTCTAATTATAACCTCAAATTCAACAGTGTTGAGACTCGCACATGACCACAGACAAATGGCCTTAATGCTGCTGATCTCCCACTGATCACTGACAGGCTCACATATCTGCTGCTGCTAGGATTCTAGGGTGCATCACCAACTCTCACCATCTCCTCACAGCCAGGATGCCATTCAGGGTCCAGTATAGATCTACTAGCGCTAAAGGGGCACAGAGTGGGCTCGTCTTAGCAGGCAGTTAATTATGGCAATAATTAACCGTTACGCACATATGGGCGATTTACTTATTGTAGACATTAAAACTGGAAAGAGAATAAAGAGGGGTCTTTAGTCACTGCGCACCCATATGGATCTTTACAAAGCTGGCTTGGTAACATTGAACTACAGTGATAGTTATAAAAAAAAATGATACGAGATAAAGGTAACAAAAATAAAATTATCAAAAATATTAGAAATTGTAGCAGTACTTATGCCATGTAGTGAGTATTATTTGAATACATTTTATATGCCCCTTTATATGTTTATGCCCCTTATATGTCCCTTTTCTGGTGGGATTTATGTAGAACGGACTTTTTTAAAACGTGTTCTCTCTTTTTGCCAGTAGGTGGTGCCACGATATCGCCTAAATATTGACGTAAGTAATTAAGACGATTTATATTGATATTAGATAGAGAGGAGATGCAATTGCAGAGGAGAAAGGAAAAAGCAAGAATACCTTAAGATAAGTCAAACATATGTGATGCACATTGGTAGCACTTACTGCGAATGTAGAATGAGCATAATCTGTATATACTGTGTGGCTGGTAAATAACAAGGCCTGAGACTTTTGCATTTGACTGGACTTGCTCTAACTTGACTTTGAAGTGTCAGTAAAATCCTCCTGAAGTATATTGGAAAACATCTATCTTCAAAGCCATGTCACCAACAAAAAACAACATTTTCAAAGCCAGTGATGTTATAATTGTTATTATTATTATTATTGTTATTAATATTATTACAATGTTCTAAGTGTAACAGTCGTATCATAATTTATTTTGTAAAAATGTTAAAAGCATTTTACAAAAGAATTGATATATAATTCAAAGCTTATACTCTGATCAAATGTGATGCCTCTCCTTCAAATGCTAACATTTGGTCTGCCTAGAGATACTTCTCAGAATTCTTACAATATAAGATACCACAAGTTTTCTAAATTATGGGCAAAATGTCATGTTCAAATGCTGTTTAATGCAGTATTTATTGAAGATAACCCATTCTAATTGATTCCTTATACTAAATACTTTAAAGTGTAGTCAGGAATAAAAAAGTGTGACTGAAATTATTATTATATGCAGCTGTAATTTCATTGAAAAAATATGTTGTGTATGGACATTATGGTCTATTTTTAAGTGATCTCAGCTGGCTTGTTGTTTTACTACCTTAAATCTAGGCTCTATTAAAGTAGTGATCATATTTTCAAGGAAATTAAAATGGCCTTCTGGAATATTGAGTTCAATAATAGAACAGCTTTGACTCAATTTCTACATGTCATGCTATTATAAAAGCGTAACTATTTCCAATTAGAGTCTGTTGCAGCATAATCCAGCACGCTGACACTAATGAAACAATACAGGCAGTACAGCTGACTTTGCACCGTAGAGACAAAGAAACATGAGCCAGATTATGTTGGGTTCACATCAGAAGGTTAATTACGCCTATAATGCTCTATGGGAACGAGCCAGGCCCTAATATAACCTCTTCTATTAACTGTTGAGTGATATTGTAATGCTATAGGAATTTAATGATTCTCCCACAGCAGAGCAGGATTTACGCTAAGCTCATTTAATTGTCTCTGTTTGTGTTGTATTTGTTGTATTTTGTTAAGCTGCCATGTGTGGGTGGGAAAACATCACAAATGAGAACAGTAAAACACTGCTGTCATGTATGAACAAATCCAGCTGATTAGTAGAGCTCTGGGTTAGTATTCTTCAGTATTAGGCCTATGGGAGATAAAACAGATTCTGTACCTTCACCAGCTGAGCTTTTCAGACTAATTGATGGCTCATTTTTACATTCAGTACACACACATACAGCAGTGGAGGCTGTTATCTAGTACAGTTTATAGCAGGTATACAGTAAATGCAGTTTAGAGTAGGTATACAGCAAATGAATGTTGAAAAAAAAAACTTAGCTAATCAAAAATTTTAATTTTAAAGAGCAACAGCAGGTAACCAAGCACAATTATCTCTCATCAAGACCTTTTAAAGATAACTCAAAATACATTTTCTCAGATGAGACATTTGTGAACAGCAGCAGTTCATCGTGGAAGGATAACTGACTTTGGGGACAGTGATTGGAAAGTCCTGATCTCCCCTGAGTTTTAGCCTTGATCTGGTAACAACTAGGAGAATTTTTGAGCAAGTGTTAGAGGGATTGTTGGATAGTGGAAACACATTGGAGTAGTCACAGTAAAATAAAATCTCTAACCTCTGTATGTTATTCAGTGCAGAGGCTGTCTTGATCTTCGGTTTACACCTGACTCTCTGGAGATGTATGAATAAATCACTATTCATTTTAAGGATAATCAGAGCTGTTTTCTACAAAAGGACGTTTTTAATCAAAAATATTCTGTTTCTTCTTCACATAGAGCTCAGGCTACATCCTACACAGGTTTAGAATTGCATGTAGATATTTCCTCTAAAACAATCTCTGCTTTATAGTGACATTGACAAATGTGTGGTTGTTACAGAAAAATGACATATTGGTTAGATCAGGAAAAAGGATGAAAAATGTTCAGTGGCGTTCTTTTATCCTGGCAGACAAGCAGTCAAAAAACAAATAGATGAATGGCAAAACTAAACTTTGTGGCAGAAGGTATCATTCAATATATCAGAGATATCAGAGATATCTTATATCTTATATAGATTGTGTCTAGTAAAACACAAAAGAAGCAGTGTGTTGAAAGCAAAGAGAGGAACTCAAAGGGTTATGGTGCAGCTAAAAGTTAATAAAAATGCAGCAAAAAATGAATGTTAATTTTCTGTTCTCATTGTTCACACCCGAGTGTGAAGACATATTGCACTGAGGCATCGAACATTAGTAAATAAAACTTGCCAGAGGCCAAGGACGATTGCCAATAAGTGCTTTTGTATTTAAAAGAAAATTTTAAGAAGAGTTGTTCTCTTCTCTCAGCCAGCGACCAACCACTGCCACCAAACCTCCTGACATAGGATGAAGTGATGACTCTCAGAGCTATGCCTGGTTCTTAATCTAAGAGAATAATGATAAACTGCATTCAAAGGTTTTGGCACAGAAGCAGGAGAGTGCACAGGCTGTAAATAAAAAATAAAACAGACTACATTCAATAATTCAGTGTAAAAGACTGTATTTTTCTTAACTCTTTCAACACCAGTCTTTAAAGTGCTGTTCAGTGTATTCTGTCAGAGGTAAACAACATTTTCTCTGTGTTTAATATTACATGATGTGAAATGTATTTTTTGTGCCTCAATTTTGTTTGTTTACAGTCTAAGATATGGCTGCCTTTTATTTATATGCTTGAATTCTATTGATCCTGCTACTGTTCAGTAGCCAACCCTGGTACTATTTTATAAACCTTTAAAGAGGACTTTGAGAAATGTGCTGCTCCAAAGAGCCACCATTGTCTCTGATGTGCCACTGTGATAGTCCCACTGCTTGTTAAATGCTGTCTCTGTTTCTAAAGATCCACAACTAAAATTTCTGTAGACATCCTAAGTGCCACAGGATTACCCACGAGAGTACTTGGTGTATAGACTGTACCTGGACTAGTCAGCACAATCGGTGTGATACACATTATATTGATGTTATTCTGTATATTGTACATATCAAGTAGACTACTTGCATTGGTTAACTTGAAATTAGTCTTTGATGTTCACCGTTAGTTCTAGCCTTCTGTTTCTGCTTTATCCTTTAGAATCAGATGTCCTGTTTTGTTGTTTTTTTTTTTTCACTTTAGAATCAGGTGTCCTGTTTTGTTGTTTTTTTTTCAGAACAAACACAAAAGGTAAAGGGGGAGAAATTAGACAAGAGGCCCTGATACAGCAACATTTTGGCCACAATTCATTCAGGAAACGTTCAACTGAAATTAAGTGGGAAGCACGTTTATTTTACCATAAACTCCCCGAAGGGAGCAGCGAAAAGGACGAAAAATAAGAATGTTCACTACGCAAGTTCTGTTCAACAAAGCAGTTTCTGTGCAACTTCCGGTCAACTTCTTCCTGCTCCACATACAGAACTAGACGTTGACGTCCATTTGTTTTATGTCGTGTTTGTGCTCTGTCAGCATTCAACCGCATTGAAGAAGAACCTTCGGTGGTCAGGTTGCTGTTCTGTCATTGGTCACTTTGGTTATCCGTCAAGGATGTTCTGGAACAGCATTGGCTGTTATCCCCGAGCTCTGTCCTTCTTGTTTCTACCTGTCTGGTTGTGAGAGGCTGGCAGGGTTTCCTGCTCCTCGCTCTACTCCCGCCCCTTTATCCAGCTTCAAGGAAGGAAGACGGAACTACTCGAAACGCATGTGTCACTTCCACTATGCTGCAAATCTGCTGCTGCGTGAATACACGGGTAAATTTCTCTGCTTCAGTGCTTGGTAGGAAATAAGGTACAGTGGTGGCGAACTACAGCTGTGGTTTCGGGGGATGCGGGTCGCTTAGGGAGGGTTGCAGCGATTGCTTTCAGAAGTGAAGCGTGGCTTAGAAAAGAAAGAAGAGACCTGAAAGAGAGAGTGTCTTTCTTTCCTGCGCGAAACCAGATAGCTTGTTTCGGTTGCTTGCCTCGACGGGATTGACATAGAATATGGCGGAACATCACCCAGTCGCGGACACCAAACACAAATCCTCTCTGAACTCTGGTGCGTCGTACTCCGGTAATGGACGCAGCAGCGGCGGTGGCAGTAGCGCGGCGTTCTCGGACAGAGGGAGCGGTGACGCCGGCGGAGGAGGAGGCGGGCTGTCCGGCGGCCTGTCGCAGCCGGCAGGGTGGCAGTCCCTACTCTCTTTCACCATCCTGTTCCTGGCCTGGCTGGCCGGCTTCAGCTCCAGGCTTTTCGCTGTCATTCGCTTCGAGAGCATCATTCACGAGTTTGACCCTTGGTGAGTTTCCACAAATGCACAATCAGCTGCTTTTGGAGAAAGTTGTCTTTTTTAACATGTCAAGTGGACGTTACTTGTTGCCTGTAATCCAGACTAAATTAACGTCCTTGCTTTTGGTCCATCAGACGTGGTTACTCGGTTATTTACTTTATTTAAATGTAAAAGTGCACTTGATAAGTTGGTCATTTATGTCAGGTCATATTTCAGTAATTCATACGCAGTCTCTATATAATATCTGATAAGTTGTGCTGATTGCAAAATACGGTAAACCTAAGTTTGGCCTGACCTTTTCCGTACCACGTGACGGCCGGGTAGCCAATCCATTGTCGCTAATTATAAAGGCAACGTTTATAAATCTTAGGGGGAGGGAGGAAGGTCGGCTGGTGCCTGTCACTGAAGTGTGACGGTCAATTGTTTAGGCCGTTTTTGGTTCCATTAATAATTAATATTGGTCAAAAAATTAGTTACTACGTTAAAAATAAGTGGTGGAATCCTTTTTAAAAATGATAGAATATCAAAAACATTGTTTTATACATATATTGGAATTTTGTCATGTACTACACATATCTCATTTATCCTTATTAAAGAGGTCTGTCTCTATCGGGATTCCTTGATCTTATTTTTTCTATGAGCTACTCCTCCAAATTCCGAACTGTCTTGAGTAATTTTTCTCAGAGCTTTAACAGCAGTTGGCAACCTTTTGTTCCACCACTGGCATACTTTGGGATTTCCTGCTCTGAAATTCAGTTGAGTTCAAAGCATTCTGATGAAAAGTTTAGTAAATGTATTTTGCAATCACCTCTAAAGCACAAATGTGTCTATAACCTCAGTAGGAACACGTGTGTAAATGATTTTTCATTTGTGATTATACAGCAATGTTATGTTTTCATCTTACTCCAGACAAAAATTGTGTTTTGACCCAAACCAATTTTTAATCTTGTGATGGCAGAACTACTCATTAGAATAATATAATTCAGAAACAATGTAAAATTACTTTTTTTTAATTATAATATGTGAAGGTACAATGCTACATTTTGTTTTAGCTAAAATCAACATAAAGCCCAAAAACTATGTGGTTGTTGTCGGACTCAAATATATTTCCTAATCATGTATAGTTTTTCAGACATCACTTGGAAAATTGTTTCAAACCTAAGCAGTTATTTTGTTATGTTCATAATTTTCTTCCTCATGCAACTTACGTGATTACAAACCCAAAAGGCTGTCAATTGTTTTCTGAGTGAGTTTAATCATGTCATGCTATCAGCAAACTATCTGACTTTAACATGTAACAGTTACCCCTTATCTAGTCATTACAGTAAAAGTGAATCACTAGGTGATAACTTACTGGTTCACTTGCATGTTTTAGTTGAGTGCTTCCTGAATGTAAGTTAAAGAAATCACTCATTTGTTTTTTGATGTTCTTTAAGAGCTAAAAAAAAATTATTGCATTTTTGTTGAGCCTGGTTGGTGTGTCGATTGGTTCCATCTTGAGGACAAATACATGGGTCTGTCAAAGTGTATTTTCTTTCCACTGGCGTGGAATCGTCCAAAAAAACAGAATGTATGCCCTTTTCAAATGGTCATGTTTTTTTTTACTGTGTTGCAGAGTTTAGAGATGGGATATAGTATGAATGCAAGTGCCATTGCTTGGCTGTGGGTGGCTTATACTGTATAGTATGTTAAGAAAGCTGTCTGTTGCAATAGACAGTTTATTAATCTATAACAATGTGATTAAGTTGAAATACCTCAACCACAGCTGATGTGGCCTTCATACTGTTTTTGTGTTATTTCTTCAGGGGCTTTTTTTTTCAAGCAAAAGTCCCAACTTGTGTTCTTTCACTATGACTGAGTGTTGCCAACCCAAGCCTGCATTGCATCAGTGAAAGTGATTGATAATTATTCCGAGAGCAGTATTGTGGATTAAACCAACATCTTTTTGTCCATGTGCTGCATAAGTGGATGCATGAAAGCACTAAGCAGTGACCGGTCTTTCAAGTTCTGTGTTTTTGCCAATGGAAATACATGGTGTTGCATAGCATGGATGAGGATGTGTCAATACACTGCCTCACTTCTTGCATTATAACTGTGCTATCACACTGCATTTGTTTCAAACGCTCTATGTCAGTAATTCATTTTTCAAATTATGCTTAAGGGCGGCTAGTAATATTTCATATTTCACACCTGACAAATTTAATTAGGGATTTTTATACTCTGAAATTGAATCACAAAATGGGGCACAGATATATTTAGTATTGATTCCTATATTAAGTCAGTGTTGGGGCAGTAATTGCATTTTCTATAGCAGAGGATAAACATTGCATGTAACAACTCAAGTATGAATTTATTTATTTTTTTCATTGTGACAGAAATGTTAAATTAGTGATGACGCATGATCCCACTCAGTTATTTAGTATGGTAAAGGATACAAACTTTTTTTCTGATTGCCTTTACGTAACAATTCAAACACCACAACCTTATTGTTAGGTTCCTGTCATTCTCTTTCTTTAACAACTACACAGCAGGTGAGCTAACATTCATCTCACCCTTCTGTTGTGTTTGTATTTCCAATCACTATATACTATGCCACACCATCTCTGGGATATGCCTTTTGATGAGGTTATTTAACAGTGCCTTCACTTCAATGCTTTTGAATCTGGCAGTAGTCTGGGTCTGACATTTAGCTATCTGTAGATAGCTATGGTTGGAGTTGAGGTAGACTTCATTATGAAGGGGTGGGGGGAGTCATATTTTTCAGTTGTGTATTAACACTCAATGATGCTAGGTGTGAAGCCAAACAAGGTCTCCAAACAAGGTTTGGCAAGGAGACCTGTCATCTTCTGTTTTGTTCAAGGCTGTAGCTGGAGGACATTTGAATAATTACTCTCACTTTGTGGCTGGTTCTTGTGAAGAATGACATGGTTGATATCATTAATACAATGACCCCAAACTGACAACAGCCAAGCTTAATAAAGACCCGTTATCCAGTTAATTACTTTAAGCTTATGCAAGAGAACATAGTTCTTCATCATCCCTTTCATATGAATACTGCGCATACCCTGTATTGCCATTAAAATAAGAACTCATATCTTGTTAGTGTTCCTAGCAACATGACTGATATGGTCTGTCTGTCTGAGTAATGCTCCATATCACATACTTTTGATCAATGTCTTTTCTAAAGAGCTCTGAAAAATTTCACTCAATAATTTTTACTGACTGAGCCCGAAGTCATCTCCATGTGGCTCTTTAGGTTACATTGATTCATCCTGTTGGTGATATTTCTCTGTTAGCTCCATTCTTTTGCATTCATACTGCATTATTATTCTGACAAGGTCAAGTGTTTTTTAGGGCTGGCCAATTTTGGAAAAATAATTCTAAAAGTTCACTTTCAGAATTACTATATTATAATAAAAACAATGTATATAAAACGTATAAAACCATAGTAATGTAAAAAAAGAAATACTCCAATAAATATAATCCAATGAAGAAATACAAATTTAAAAAGATGGTTTTATGTACCATGACTTAGTGCTTAATGATAATGCTAAATCCTAAAATTGGACCAAGCTATTAATACTAAAATGCAGGTAGATATTTGCTCACATTTCAGTGCACTTTCACACTATTTTGAAATATCCTGAACATGTATCTGACTGCTATATTTAATAAACAGCAGTCAATTTCTCAATCTAAGAACATGACACCTGGTCCAATACAGCTCAGAGCCACCAGTAAACATAAACAGCAAATGCTGGTAGTACTGATGTGTATTATTGAATATACCGTGGAAGATGTTGATGTGGTTTATCTACTTTGCCTTTTCTGCTTTGTATGAGCTGAATGTAAATTAGTCTCTATTTTTTAGTCGGTTACAGAGATATGCCTTGTTGCTGCTCAATGCAGGCACAATAGTGAACTTAGTTTACTCTCTTGCTGACTAAACACTGCTGCTCCTCTCCTTCTGCATTTCCTACTTGCACTGTTTAAAACACCTACACCAGAATGCTCCCATAAGCCTTTTAAAGTGGTGGAAGCACGCAAATTAATTTGGGACAAAAGGCAATATAATTTTTTTTTTTTTTTTTTTTTTTTTTTTAGTGTTGATTTTCTGATTGGTGGGATTGATAAATTGCACTGGCCTAGGAATAGGCTTTAAAAGCTGTAGAGGTGGAGAAATTCCTACTGTGGTGTGTTAGGGTGGCTAATTGCAATTGTGGGTGCTATTAGCAGCATAACAACAAGTGAACAAAGTTCATTTAGAGACATTTAATGCATTTCTGTTTTATTTTTCTGTTACTGGTGAAATAACGGATTTTGACTGCAGACGAGTGCAATCAAGTAGGTTGCATATTGTGCAACCTGTAGTGACTTTACTAAGGCTCTCTGAAACTGCTGTTCCTGATGCAGGGGCTTTCAGAGAGCTGAGGTCAAGTAAAGTAGATTCTGTTGATGATACAGCTGCTTCAGTAGAAAAGCAGACTATAGAACTGCTTTCTAAACGAGGAATGGCCACTCAAGCACCACACCTTTTATGGAAAGTATTTTTTCACTGAAATTCATCCAACTTTGTGTGATTGTAAGCTGCACAAGGAGACTGATTAACATGTTTAGGCATTATCATTGGGCAATATCCTTGGGCTCCAACTAAAAGGGTAGAACAGAATTGCTCCACGTGGATGTTAGGCCACATCACTCATTCTCTAAAATTAGGACAACATTCACAACTAGATTATTCGACTATAAAATGTGTTCACAAAAGTTGGGATTTAATTGGTTTGTAAACACTAATGATTTAGCAAACAAACTGCAGATTGCAAACAAACATTTATTTTCTTGGTAATGTTCTTTCTTTTTGTTTGATTTTTTTTTTCTTTTTTCTATTTTTTGGGGCATAACTGCTGTCTGTGTTTTCAGCATATGTCTGGTACAGTAACGGATACAGATGTTTTTTGATGAACATAACTGAAACCCAGTGTTTTGAATATTAAGGCTGAAACTTTGTT